GGGGTCGAGGGAGACAAGGAAGCTGGTGGGGGAGGGGACCTGAGTATAGCAAGCCGGTTCTGTGGGGCCCCTCCCCACCTCTGGTTAGCATGGCTTCTTATGGGGTGAGGCAAAGTAGCAAAAACAAGAAACAAAACCCAAACAACAGCAAACAAAATCACCACCCACATAATACCCTAGCCCCTTATCCCCTCAAAGGAAGAAAAACAGAAAAAGATCATGTACAGCTTACATTTTTACAAAGCCGAACGGGCTCCGGTGATGATGAGATAAAGGTCTAGGTTATAGAATTGACTCTGATGGCTTTCAGGAAAGAACTTGTCACCTGTGTGGCTGAGGCCCTGCCATGCTGCTGACTCTGAGGGTCACACAGCTGCACCCCTGCAGCCTGCTGGGGTTGAAGTTTCAGGGGGGCTGGGCAAGGGTGGGGGTGAGTGTCTCAGGACTCAGACCTAGCATGGGACCCTTGTGTTAGCCAGTGTTGGGAATCAGTGATCCCCTTCACCTTCTGAGGCTGACTCTAGGATGCCATGGTATTGGAGGTGGGGTGAAAGGTCAAAGGCCAGCAAAAGGGCCCCAGTTTGGAGACCAGGAGTCCCTGAATGAAGGCTCTTAGGACATGGTCTTCCTTAGCTGGTCTGGGAAAAAAGGGGAGGAGGGCAAAAGGGAGAATTGAATTAGAGTAAAACCAAGGTCCATCCCAAGAGGATGATTGTGGAAGATTAAGACTAGCTGCTACCCCTGGGGAAAGCCCGGGCCATGCCAGACATTCCCCCTTTTCTAATCTTGATCCACATTTCACCCCGCCTACCCCTCACCCTTTTTAGATTTAAAGGCTGAGCCCCTCAGTTGAAGGTAGGGCCAGAGAGACAATAAGGTGTCAAGCTAGAGAATGATACTAAAGAAAGGGGGAGTGGCTTTAGGTCCAAGCCCCTGGGGTGGGCTGCACCACCACAAACTGGCGTTAAGTCAGGGCTAGTGTAAATCCAAAAACAAAGGGAAACTTTCTAGCAATTTTGTGCTGCTACCACCTAGAGATTTGAGGTTAGTCAAGAGGTGAGCTAGGAGAGAGAGGCAGAGATCAAGTAGGTTGAGTGGCCAAGACCCCCCTTGTAGGAGCTGAGACTTATCCCAGGCATGACTGCCTGTCTCAAGTCCCTGGGGGTGGGGCAGGGGCTGGGTGGGCTTGTGCAGTCCCCTGCTGGCTGGCCGCCTCCCTTCAGCTGAGCACCGCCCTTGGCCTTGGGGAGGCTGAGGAGCTAAAGGGCCTGGTAGGAGGAGGTAGCATTGGAGCAGGGTGCAGCTCTACCCTCTTGCTCTTGGGTAGGTGACAGGAGGGACACACCTGAGTCTCAGGGCTTCCAAGCATGCTAGGTGAGAGGGAGACCCCCCTCCAGAGCAAGGGGAGGGGGGGAGGTATTCCTGACTCTGCATGCCAAAGAATCTGGGCAACTGATGAGGATGCACAAAGGCCAGTGGTGAGAGAAAGTGAAGATGGCCAGGGAGTGTTCCCACAAGTACCCCACCACCCAGGGCCAGCTCACCCCTCAGGGACCCACTGCCCTGCCCCCCAAGGCTTTGCCAGAGCCAGTCTGCACCACGCAGGAACTCAGCAGGCCCAGGTGCCCTGCAGAGACCACCTGGAGAGGCTGTGCAGCAGCCCCATCCTCAGGCTGCAGGGGGAGGTCAGGAGGGGCCAGCTCCAGTCCTCAGGAGCCTGGTACTTGGCGATGCAGAGTCAGAGCAGGGACACCCAAGCAGGGCCAGCATGAATGGAGGGAGGGAGTCCCGTGCATGGCCTTAGAAGCTGCTGCAGGGGGAAAGGGGGTGGGGGAGGAAAACACCACACCTCTTTTTATATAAGGTTTCATATTTAATTTGGTCATGAATTCATAAATACATGAGTATTTTGTACCTAATGGCCTGTCTTGTTTGATTTTATAAAAAAAAAAAAAAAACTTCAAAGAAGGGATTGTCCCTTGGGGGAAGGCTGGAAGGGTACCCAACCATTAAACAAAACTTAAAAAGTGTGATATTTGGGTAGAAAGCAGTAGAGAGGACACTCTCATGCTGTCATGAAGCTTCTCTCTGGTAAAAGACACAATGGACATGTGAACAAACACACAAACCTGACATGCTGACAGGGTTGGTACTTTGACAAACCCTCAAGAAAGCGCCCAGAGAAAGGGGAGAGTGAGCAGAATCTGCAGTTTCCCAACACCACCTGACTCCAGGAGCCTCCCACAGGGAAGGACCTGCTGCAACGGGAGCAGTGGCGCCCTCTGGAGGGAGAGGGATGTAAGTGTCAAAGCCCTGGAAGTTGAGTTCCCCACTTCGGAACTCTGGAACACCGATTCCCTGGATGTGTCAAAATGTTCTCACAACTCTATTTTGGATCCACCACACACGTCTTGGAACAAGACAACACACAAAACTTTAAGTGAGAAAAACCCTGAGAATTAACCCCTCTGACATCTCCCTACTGGGATTGAAGCTGTACAAGCTGGAGACAGATGTGGTGGAAGGATTGAATTTGTGATGAAGTATTTTAAGTAAGAGAAAATTCTAACATGTCAGTTATCTTAGGCTCAATTGTCATAAAATGACACAGAATTGGCATAACATACAATAGCCACTGAAAAATTACTACACCTGGAAAGAAGCAAGAAAATATGACCGAAACAAAGATGAAAACCAAGCAATGACAGACCCAGAAATAAACTATAGCATTAGCAGAAACAATATTCAAACACCTATTATAAGCATACACAAGGATTTTAAAGAAAAACATAATGAGAAGAAACTAAGATAATCTATATTTTCCAGATGGAAGCTCAGGTCTATTTAAAGGAGGTATACCAGATAAATAGGTACCGTATTATATGTTTAACTTTTAAAAAGATAATTTACTTTTACAAACTAGTAATAATGGGATTTATAACATACATAAAGGTAAAGTGTATATTTTTAAAAATAGCACAAATGATAGAAGCGGACAATGGAAATAAACTTAAGGCTCTCGCATTATCTACAAAATGGTATAATATTGCTTGATGGTATAATGTGATAAAAGTATTTTGTAAACTCAAATAGCAAAGAAATATGGCCAATAAGCCACTAGTAGAGATCAAATGGGATCCTACAAAATATCTGATTAATCTAAAAGAAGATATAAAAGGAGAATAAAAGGGAATTAACATTTAGGACATATAGAAAAAAAATAGGATGGTAGACGACTTAACCCCAACATAACTACAGTAAATATACGTATCCAGACGAGATTGCTAAAAATGGCTCACACCTGTTTTACATAACAGTCTTATTAGAACCCAGCCAAACTCACTCATGTACATACCCTCCGGCTGCTTTCACATGAAAATGGCAGAATTCAAGAGTTGAGGCAGAGACTTGAGGTCCTGAGAAGCTGAAAATACTTATTTTCTGGCCCTTCACAGAAAAAGTCTGGTCCACTCTCTCCTCTTCTTCCTAATACCCCCAACTAGAGATTGCAATTTAAGTGCAAAAATTGGTAGATACCATAAGAAATCAAACTACGAGAAGTTTGTATGAAATATTTATTTACTTTTTTTTGGAGGTAACACTGGCTTTTAACTTTGTAAGCTTTTAACTTTGTAAGCTTTACATTTCATCAGCTTATAAGAGCCATTTTAAACTCAGAGATATCTATGTAGTGTTCAATTAGCATTTAACATTTAAATGTTCCATACACATTGTCCACTCTTGCTCCCTGAGGCTATAAAATAGTGTCAAGGTGGGAGACCAGTCACTGTGACTTCTCACCCAGATGACTACAATTGCAAGTAACCGTTCAGGCTTAGGGTACAACAACAACAGTGTATTTCAAAGGGAAAATGAGTTTTTAAGGCCACCGTTGTCTGGCTGCCCCACCCCAGGTAGTGCCCAGAAGTCTACAACTTGACACTGCTCATGCAAAATGGTGCCATCATTAGTTGAGAGCCTGGAGCTGGTAGCACGCCAGCAGGCAAGTGTACCAGGATCCAGTTCACAGTGGCTGCTGGAGCCATGGGTAGCACTGGGCTGGAGCAAGTCTTGCCACCAGAGCCCCAAGTCTAGCTCTCCTGAGGAAGACTGAGGAGTGGGGACAAACCACCATGTCGAAGGCTTGCCGTGGCCCTGGGGCTCCTGTTTCAAGACCATGGCAGACATGGGGAGTGGATCCTAAAGAGTCACTACAATGACCTGAAATGGCACATGACCTACCCCTCTACCCTACCCATGAACTTTAGAGGAGGAGCCTCACACATGACTACCCAGGTAACCGACATCCAAAGGGTTTTGCTGGCAGCCCTTCTCACGTTCTGCTCACTTGTAAACATTTACTATAAATTATATAAATATTCACACATGTATACAATTATCATGATGAAAAGACTGGACCCTTGGGCCCTCCCTAGTGGTGTGGAAGGTTAAATTGCAGCACTATGAAGCTGTCCACAGCCACTGCATCATGGGTTCAATCCCCGGCCAGGGAGGTGACCCACATGACGTGGCAGACCTCTCCTGACCTGCCTGTTGCTCCCCTCAGCAGTGCACTTTGTCAATCTTCCTGTTCTACTCCCTACTCTGTCTTTGGTGATCCTCTTACTCCACGCACCTCTGGCCTGTACCCTGGTTGTGGCATGCATAAACAAAAATCTTTTTAAAAAATGACAGCTGAAGTTGCCAGTCACAACTCAAACTGCATGATGGAGAACCAGAATGGACCAGGGCAAACTCCACAGAGATAGGCTTCACAGACGCACCACTCTGCGCACCTTATATTTCTATACATTTTATGATGATAGAAATATAAACAATCAATGTAATACACTTGGTAAGTGCACTTAAAAAACCTTCTCAATGTTTATATAAATATATAAAACATGAAAAATACACAAGCATATAAATTAATATTAATATATACATAACTACACATTAACATTAAAATAATACAAAAAATCATAACAAAACATGTAAAAGTAAAAAGTGCAGTTGTCTTAGGATGAAAAAAATTCTATAAGCATAAAAATAACATCCTAAAATGGTACTACCCAAATTTATCACAAGATATCTATCTTAAATGCCTTGAGATTCCACTGTGGAATCTTAAAAACTGTCACAGTAAACAATTCATAAAAACAAAAAGCCAGAGCTCCAACTGATTTGAAAAAAGTTCTGGAAAATTCTAGAGCGTCTTCAATTATTTTCTGTTTCTTTCCAAGGAAGCTCTGGTTTCCTAAAGCGAGTCCTGTACACTCAGGGTAGCGTGGAGTCCCCGTCCTCATAGGTGTACAGTTTGGAGTGCACCAAGTGCTTCTCAATCTTGTCTTTTGCAAGATTTTCCTTAATCTCTACCAAGGCGTCTAGCAGGGTGTTCACTGAGGCTTCCATCCCAGTGATGCTGTGCCATTGCTGCAGCATCTGATGCAGGTGTTCCTCTGTGCACCGGCTTCGCTCTTTAGCAAGTTGGATATCATTTTCTTTGAGACCCACCTTCCTCATAAATAGGTCCCAATATCTCACGTTGACTTCGCTTGAAAAGTAATCGAAGGACTTCCTCAGGCCTAGGTGGGAGGAAAGCCACAAAGACAGCCAGGTGAGTTGGGCCACTTCAGAAAGAGCAAAGGACTCGTCAGGCCCAGACCTGCAGAAGGGATCTGAAGTGCTTTCCCTGAGGCCAGCTGGCTGCTCAGCTGCCCTCACGGCTTCCCACAGGCAGGGAGGGAATCAGGCCGCAGGGCCTAGTTTTCACCTGTGCCCAAAGGACTGTGGGAGTCACAGTCAACAGAAAGCCCTGCTCTGAGGGAAGGTGAGCAGCGGAGACAGGAAGCAGCGTAGCCCTGAATTGTTCAGTGAGGGTTTGGTCCCTGCTCACAGGACAGTGGCCCATCCAGCCTATGTGCCTGGCCACATCATCTAGGTTTGTGAGACAGCACTGTGAGGTTTGCACAGCAATGAATCACCCAAAGACACATTTTCTCAGAATGTTGTCTTTGAGCAATGCCCTTAAACAATGCATGACTATTCAGGCAGGAGGCAGAGGTGGGGAGACATTACAGGTACTGCAGGCTCTCAGAAGAGACTGCTCAGACCGCACCTATCACGAGAGGAAGGGCCCGGGGCCACCAGGTACACGGTGGCCAGAGTCAGGGCCTGGAGGGAGCAAGGCCTTGGGCGTCACGCCCAGCTTGGCCTCACTCACCGACTCTGTGGCAGAGCTGCATGGGGACGGACAGACAGACGCTGAGCAAAACACCTGTAGGGTGGGGCAGACACTACCCAGCTCGTGGGACCGAGAGGAGAAATGAGGTGTGTGTGGAACATCCTGCAAGATAGCCGGCAGAAACATCAGGTGGCCCAGGAATGCGGTTCCTATTTTCTAATAACTTCATTCACAAAAATGAAAGTGGTACTAGTTTTAATAAGATGGGGCTAGTTCAGTACATTCTAATGTAGTATTTCAACATACAGTTAACACAAAAATGATCAATGAGTATCTTATATCCTGACTGATGACTATCTTATATCCTTTCTTCCTGCTAATTCTTTGAGAGTCGTATGGAGTTTACACTGCAGCCAGAGATCAAATGCCTCGCACTCTCCTGTCAGGGCCAGTGGGTGCTCTGCTGGACTGACTTAGGCCCCCACATTCCAGTGACAACCCGCACAGAACCCTTCCTTCCAGCAGCTCCTGGACTGCAGTTAGGAGTCTTTCCCCTGCCTCCAGCTCTGCAGCCCCCAACAAAATACTCACTTTCAGTAGCGTCTGCAGCATTCACTGGAACCAGGCGCCTACTTTCCTTCTGCGACTCTTTAGTTTCCGCTGATCTCTGTCAAGTACAGTGGGGAACACCCCTGGGCTGAGTCAGGGGTCCTGGATTCCAGACCCAGCTGCAGCCGTGGCCTGGGGCAGCTGCCCTCGGGTTCTGTGAGATGAGCCTCCTGCCCCTCTCAGCTGGGCGCCGAGCCACAGGGAGCACGTTCCCACAGAAACTCACTTCTTCTGTCTGTTCCTACCTGACACCTGTGGATGCCCATGCAGGCATCACCAAGTCAAGACAAGGAACATTCCCACCGCCCCACTCACCCATGCTCTGGTCCATTCCCACCCACCCCCAAGGCCCAGACACTGCCTCTGAGACTTGTACATGACTCAAATGAAGATGCTGTGAAGACACTTTGGAAAAATCTTAAGTAAAAGATTTTTTCAGGGAATGCACAGGTTCTTTGAGCAATAAAAATGTACCCTATCCATGTTCAATATAAGGAAATGAAAGCATCAGATGATCCCCAGGGGGCTGAAAGAACATTTTATAAAACGAAGCACCAATTCTGAGTTTTCAAAGACACCTCAGTATAGGCATATGAGTCCAGAGTGGTGAGATTTGCTATCTACCTAATGGTAAATCCTGGAAGCCTTCCCAAAAAAGTAAATTCAAGAACAGACAGAGATAAAAAGCGTAAGGTTCTGTGAGGGGTATCTGTCCTCTCAAGGTGGCCAGCTCCCCTGCCAGGCAGGTCTTCCACTGATGGTGGCGATGTCCCTCCCCCACCACTGCCCTCCTAAGAAAAGACTAATAACAGTCTTTCGGGAGCCACAGCGCAGGGACGGCACCACACGACCTTCCACCCACTCACCAGCAGCGGCTCTGCTTCCCTTGCGATCTGTACAGTGACACCCGTCAGCTCTGCCTGCTGTTGGCCTTGAGGTTCCAGCTCAGAGATGTCAGTGTACACTGAGTCCCTTTTACTCAGGTTGTTGTTGCGGGCGTTGTCCAGTGCCCCAGGCTCTTTCTTAGGACACAAGCAGTGTTGGACCTTGGGAGGGCAAACAGCAGCCTCAGAAGTCCACACCTGGGTTCCCCACTGGGCCTCAGTGGGAACAGTTGGTCCTGTGGGCCCCACTCCCACTCCCTCCCAGACTGACAACCCCTTTGCACCCAAGGTGGGAACAGGCCCAGCAGGTCCAGAATACTTTGCTACTGGCTCTAGGACCCTGGTGTTGTGCTGAGGGGGCTCCTCACCCCTGCCTGACACCCCTACACCCAGGGTGCAGGGCTGTGGGGCGAGGCTGTCTCACAAGAAGCAAGAACAGTGCTTAGCACAGCCAACTGGCCTGTGGGCTGCTCACCATGGGTCAGCTGCCCTCTGACAGTCTGCTCGGGGCCACAGGCCCCTTTGGAGAGTTAGGACAGAACAGGGCAGTGAGGAACTGCCTCCACCCAGGACCTGGCTGAGGGCCTGGCCTGATGCTACCCAGGTCTGGAGAAACAACTCACCCTGTGCAGGTAATTGCAGCTCACAGAAGTGCCTAGAAGAGAAGCAGTGTCCACCTTAGCAGTGGGAGGGCCCTCTCTGCACCTCCCTCTCTGAAGACAGTGCTGAGGGCAGGTGTGGGCTGGGGGTTCAGACAAGGAACAAAGAACCCTGACCTGGTAGGGTGTCGGGGGGACGGACATTCCATCTCTAGGGTCCCCTCAGGGATAGGGAACGGAGGGGACAAGTGCAATAAACATGTAGAACACCTCTGGGGATTCTGCTCTGACCAGAGCTGTACAAGCCCCCTGGCCCTCAGCTCTTGACCAGTCCCAGTGCCAACTGCCTCGCTGCCCTGTTGGAAGTGGAAGGCCCAAAGAACTGCTTCCCCCCTGGGACTTGGCCAGGGAGGTGAGGTGACCATCAGCCCCCATGGGAAGGGGAAGTGTTATGTAACCCCTGCCCTTGGGAGAAAATGAGGTGGGAGCTGGGGGGTGATCACAGGGAATGGGAGCGGAGTCAGGCTAGAAAAAACCTGAGGACTGGCAGATGAAGGGGAGAGCCCTGATATCTAGGAACTAAGCAGAGAAAGAGGTGGCAGAGTGCCAGCACCTCTCCCTTCCCTCCCCCTGTCACCTTAAATCATACACCTCTGGAAATCCTCCCCTGCAGGTGGGCACGTCCCGTGAGGTCCTCCCCAGGAGGCACGCACCTTCTATAAGTCTCTCACTCTGAGTCATGAGCACGCAGAACACAGCAAAGAAGAATACAAGCCCAATCGACACTGTTGCTATAATCACCATGATGGATCCATTGCCTGAGGAAGGAGAAGGGGGTAGCCCTGAATTGGTCAATGGCTTTCCAGGGACTTGGGTCACTGCACTGTCACTAGTACCTGAGTCTCGGCTGATACACTTGAGGTCACTGTGGCTGGTACATGGACTTTCCATAACCATCCCATCGGGGCACCTAGGTACAGACACCAAGAGAGCAGGGAGGGAATCTGTGAGTGGAAGCTGGCAAGGTGAGGAGCAAGAAGCAGCCACCCCCGAGCCAGTGTGCCTGAGAAGAGAGAAGAGAGGAGACCAGGCCTCTGTTGCAGGGTCTGGGCCCTCACCCATTTGGGGGTAGGGGTGGGGGTGCAGGATGTGCACATGCCCTGTGCTCCTATTGGGCTCAGACCTGGAGCCTTCAGCAGCTGGGCCTTCTCTGCGAGGCTTGCATTGACCTTCTCTGGCTGCAGAGAGAGCTCCTGCAGGGATCTCACCTCAGGTCAAGGATCAGAAGGGTTTGGACACAGCTGAGCCTCACCCTCCAGGAAACTTTAATACAAGGAAACTCTTCCCCTCACCTAGCTGTTGTCCTGCCGTTACCCACACTGAAGGGTCAGAGAAGAACAAATTACTTTTGCCCCAACATCCCAGAACATCATAAGAGGGAGCAGGGGCCTGGGAGAAGGCAGTCTGTGTACGCTCATGGTATGGGAAACTCTCTCAACCCGGTGGCTGTGGTCAAGTTTGTCTTCAGGGACCACTGCTGCCTGACAACATATCAACGCCTACATCTTATGACTGTATTATAAAGATGAGTGTACATCTTGCTGCTAAAAAAAAAAAAAAAAAAAAAAAAAGATTCTACTCAATTCTTTCCTTCTATTTTCAAAAGAAATTTTTTCATGAATCACTCAAATAGTCTCATGGACTGAGGTAGTGGCCTACTGTCCCAAGCACCTGAGGGGAAAGGTGCTGGGGGGGGTGGACAGGGAAGGGGGTCCTGAGGGAGCCGTGCAGGGGGTGCAGATAGGGAGGAGGGAGCAAAGCAGGCTTAGGAGAACACAGGGAAGACCCTGGGCGGGAGTGGGGGGCTGAATGAGAGGGGTACAGGAGAACTTGGGTCGGGCTCCCTTGACGCCTGTGTCTCACCCAAGCGTGCAGGCTTGACAAGCCTCAGGAGAATTTTCTCCAGAAAAAGTGCCTTCTTTGCATTCACACTTCCTATTGGTAGTTGTGGTGCATGGAGTCACTTCTTTCTGATCTGGAAGCAAAGGGTACAGCGTGGCTCCTTCCCCCCCCCACACATGTCACCCTCCGTGTCTCTCCCCCACACTTCACCCTCCCCCTCCTACAGCCTCAGCCCCACTCAGGACTCCACAGTACTCAGTTTCTGCCGCACCACACTTGGGGCGCACAAAGGCAGCGCTGTCCACTTCTCCAATACTCAGAAGTATGGAGAAAGGGCCTGTATTTAAATATCAGGTAAAAGAGGAGGCCTCTTTTACATCTCAGGGTTGTAGGGAGGCTGGGGGTAATCTGGGAGACCCTGGAGCGAGAGGAACCTTGGGTGACTAGCATTTGGGCAGGGCCCCTAGACCAAGAGAGGGAGCACTCACCGGGAGCACAGAGCACAGGGTCTGGCCCAGACCTGGCCAGCTCACCCTTGGATGGCCCCTGGCCACGCCTCTGTCTGGGAGTGTCCATCTTGCCCTCAAGGGGCAGAATTCATTCCCATCACTTCCCTCTCACAATGAAGTAGATTTCCCTACCTGGGTGCAAACTTTATAAATTTCCAAAGTTTTAAATGTAAAGAGTTCTAATTTATTTTATCCACCTAAGACATAAGCATGACACAGGATAGCTTGCGTGTCAATCCAGGTTTCCTGGATGTGTCCTCTGGACACTGCCCCACTCATCACCCCGACTGGCTCGGGAGCCCGGCTGTGCATACCTGAGCGGCACTCTGCGCACCGGAAGCAGGAAGGCTGTCTGTTCCAGTGCTCTGTGTAACCGCGTCCACTTGTACACGGTACACAAGTTTTACTGTCTCCTGATAAGTGCGACCCTGGGAGGAAAGAGAAAAGCTGGCAAATGAATCCGCGGGGGTCTCAGCGACTGGCAATGTGCTGGGAACACTTGTTGGTCATTGGTGGGATGCAAATAGGGAAATCACTGAAACTGGCAGGGCCAGGTCATAGTCTGTATCTACTCAATACCTGGCTGACATTGAAATAAAAATACAGTACATGTCAACACAAAATTGAAATATCGGAGCCGCAGTAAGAGGGAAAGAGGTCAGATTCTTTTAATAATGTTCTTTAATCAATATATTCAAGGTAGTACTAAGATGTCCTAGTGCAGAAGAAGATTCATTCCTAACTGACCTCAGCAGGGAGAGAAGTAAACGTGCGAGGTCAACGTCCCCTCTCTGCGGTGTGGCTGGTAGCCACCTGCGTGGCACATGATACTCCACCAGGTGGAACATGACGTGTGCGCCTCAGACGGCGCTGGGTCTGCTCTGAGTCTTGCCCCCTTTCAGTCCAGTAATTTAATTAAACAATTAAAATACAAATCAGGGGCCCTGCCCGGTGGCGGAGCGGGTTAAAGCACAGCACTGAGAAGCTAAAGCCACTTCCGCATGAGTTCGATTCCCGCCTGCCCCGGAGGTGACCACATTGGCGTGGCAGACCTCTCCTGACCAGCCCGCTGCTCCCCTCAGCAGTGTACTTTGTCGATCTGCCTGTTCTGCTCCCCACTCTGTCTCTGGTGAATTCTCTCACCCTCCGCATCTCTGGCCTGTACCCCAGTTCTGTATGAATAAATAAATAAATCTTTAAAAAAAAAATACAAATCAGTTCACTCCAGCCTCTGCCTTAAAATTCTCAGGGAGGTCCCGCATTCATCCATGATCCTTCTACCATTTTCAGGGTGTGTGATCTGCTCCCATCTATTCTGTGACGTCTTTACACTCCACTCACCCAGCTGCGTCTTGCTCAAGCAAGTTCTGCCCCTCCCCCGGGAGTGTTCCCAGGAGCACTGTCCCTGCACCAAGGGCAGGGACTCTGCATGAAAGTCACCTGGTTGGGGAGGCCACACCACCCCAGCTCTGTCCCACCCATCACCCCATTCTCCTTCAGGGAGGGATTCTCCTATGCTTCTCTGACTGTCACCTTCATCCCTCTGCCTGGACATCACCCCAGGAGAGCCCCATGAGGGCCTCAGCCTTGTGCCTTCCATCAGCATGGTGTTGGACTCAAAGAGGCATCCAGAAAATGTCTGAGCAGCAAAAACCAGCATCTGCAGGCATCACAGGCTGGAAGGACATGAAGACAGGGGGGGATGAGGGCTGCAGATCAGTCTGAGAAAGTACCTGATGGACACCAAATCTGTTGAGGAGGGTACTTTTGTTCCAGGAGAGCTAATTGTTCATGAACGCTGTCCATCTTGATGTTAATGGGTGAGGAAGAAGAGACCTGTGGGGACGGGGACAAAGCAGGGACAGGCATGAGTGGCTTCCAGGCCCCATTCATCTAAGTTCCCTCACCCCAGCAGCTAAAACCCAAATTCAGTTCCAGCTCTGACTACAAGTATTCTCTTGTATTTATGCTTACCCTTTCATGGTTTGCGGTTAGCTAAGTAACATAAAATCTGTCAACTTAATTTTGATAAACATAAAGAAAGCAAATTTTGACAAATCCATTTAATGGGGAAGGTCAATCTGTTCATGAAGTAGCCTTGGGAAGACTGAATATCCGTATCTCACACATGCACATGTCAAAAATAAACTTGGACCTTTACTTGACACCATGCACAAAAATTAACTCAAAATGGAACAATGCTCTAAACCTTACAGTGAACACAATAAAATTCTTAGAAAACATAGAGGCAATTCTTCCTGATCTTGGATCTAGCAGTGTCTTTTTTTATATGATACCAAAACTATATGCAGCCTCTGAAAATATGGGCAAATTAGCTTATGTAAAATTAAGTACATATGTGCATCAAAGAGCATAATCAACAGATTGAAAGAGAAACTCATGGAATAGAATATTTGTATGTTGTATATCTGATAAGAGACTAATGTACAGAATAGAGAAAGAATTCCTATGATATAACAGTAGCAAAACAAGAAAACCCAGTTTTTTTTTAATTGGGCAAATGATTTGAATAAACATTTCTTCCAAAGAATGAAAAGATGCTCACATAATGAGATCCACCTCAAACCTATTAATGTGGTCACTGTAAGCATTCAGTCATGAATCTATTAAGACTCATTAAAATGTGTGGGATGCAGGACTTAGAGTAAAATGTGTGGCTTTTGATGCTTATATTAAAAGAATAGGGAGGCAAGAGAAATGGAGAGTGGCTGCTTGATATAATTTGACATTTCATCTGGAGGTAATAAATTGTTCTAAAATTATTATAGTGATGACTGCATAATTCTAAGAATATATTAAAAGGGGCTGAAATGTTCAATTTACATGGGTAAATTTTTGAATTTTTAATAATGATTTATTATGTGAATTATACCTCACTAAAACTATTAAATATATATATATGAATAACTTGAGTGATCTGAATGTCCACATTAAACAATCATAAAATGGAAGTATAAATTTAAATCAAGGAGAATGAATGAAATAGAATATAAATAATAGAACGAAGAGGATCAAAAGTTGGTTCTCTAAAAGTATCAAGATAATTCTAACCCCCTAACTAGAGTAGTAGTGAATAAAAAAGAAAAAAACAAATTATAAAGTATTAATAAAACAGGGGTGGTAAATGGTGCTAGAATTTTGACACCAGATGCAGTGTGGTATATTCATTTTTTGAGGTATGAAACTATTGTCCTGAAACTTCTGTGGTGTTTTAAAGCAACACAAACCAATTAAATAAAAAGAGCATCTTTACTAGACTTGCTATTTGAATGTTGTATCTTTTCCCATCTATCTGCAATATAGATATCATAATTTCAAGTTGCATGTTTTAATACAGTATCCAGTTGGGGTCTGCTTTTTCATTTCTGACCATTCTGGTTAGTGGATTTAGAAATAATGTAATTACTGATAAGGTTGAAACAGATCTACAATGTTTCCATATATTTTGTTTGTCCAGTCTGTTTTCTTTTATGATTCTCCTTCCTTGTTATAGATTTATTTCTATTTTTAATTAATTAATTTTTAAAAGATTTATTTATTTATGCATACAAGAACTGGGATACGCAGTCACCAGAGACAAAGTGGGGAGCAGAACAGGGGGTTTGACTGAAATACACTGCTGAGGAACAGCAGGAAAAGCAGAAGATGAATGCTGGGGACTGAACTGGTGCTTCAGTGTCTTCGGACAACTTCATGCACCAGCAGGGAGGGCCCTCTGTTTGTAATTTTTTTTTTTAAAGATTTATTTATTTATTCATACAGAACTGGGGTACAGGCCAGAGATGCGGAGGGTGAGAGGATTCACCAGAGACAGAGTGGGGAGCAGAACAGGCAGATTGATGAGGTACACTGCTGAGGGGAGCAGCGGGCGGGTCAGGAGAGGTCTGCCTCGCCATGTGGATCTTCTCCAGGGCAGGCGGGAATCGAACTCGCGGAAGCGGCTTAAGCTTCTTAGTGCTGTGCTTTAGCCCGCTGCGCCACCAGGGAGGGCCCCCTCTGTTGTAATTTAACAGATGTTCTGTATACTCAGATCATAATGGGAACATAGAACAGAAATTTTAGAAACATGTCTTTTGTTTCTTGCTGAAAGTAAAGAAGCTGATGAGGAAGAAGGAATTAGGATGTAAAAAGCACTTGTTTTTCTGAACCAACCATTCTTTTCATGTATCTGGAAATTTGTTGCTGTTTCTTATTAGCTCACCTCTAAGAAGGTCAAGAATATTTTTTTTCTTTTTTCTGTGTAGATTTTTTAATGCCTACTTATGTCTTTTTCTGAGAGTTTCTTTTTTGTTTGTGTTTACCACTCATCTTCGCTCTCTCTCTAGAAAACACATCCTCCCATTTGTTCATATAGGAGGGATTACTTGTTAAATATATTTAGCCATATCATTTTATTTCTCTCACCCTCCGCATCTCTGGCCTGTACCCCAGTTCTGTATGAATAAATAAATAAATCTTTAAAAAAAAAATACAAATCAGTTCACTCCAGCCTCTGCCTTAAAATTCTCAGGGAGGTCCCGCATTCATCCATGATCCTTCTACCATTTTCAGG